AATTTGTGGATGTTTTTTTTCAGATTTAGTGATTGTTTTAGTATATAAAATGTCAGAAAATAGTGAAAATGACATCTTAAGAACAACCCAAGGATAGTTATTAATGGCATACAAAAACACAGCAACGACTAAATTTGAGAACCTGGAATGAGTGATTGAATTTATTCATTGATTATTAAACAGTTGTGTATTAGTTATTAAAGCACTAATACAGACAGACAAAGCTGAAACTAAATGATGGCATGGGCTGGGTGCTTATTCTTTACTTTGACATATATAAACATGCTTTTCTAGAAAAACTCTTTTTTATAATTTAACAAAAGAGGCCAAAGTTCAACCATTTCAGACACTTTGCTATTTGTAAAAAAAATAGTCAGTAAAATCAGTAGGCAGGTAAAGACAGGCTAGCCGTTTCTCCCTGGTTTGAGTTTGCATGCTATAAGCTAAGCACCTGCCTGCTGCGGCTTCATATTACATGTACAGCTTCACATGTAACTCTCGCCAAGAATGCGATTTTCCCAAGATGTCAAACTATTCCTTTAAAAGCTACCTAAACACAAGCAGCCGTGCCCGAACTATACCTGCATAAAATACAACCTAAAAGTGGCAAAATTATGATTTAAATGAGGAACAATCTGGATCTGACCAGACATTCAGTGTCAACTTTGAGTGCTTGACAGTTTTCGAGACTAAGCGCTTAAGACACATTTCACTTGGAACCAAAAAATACCAAAGCCATAATTTACTACATCTTCTTTACCTCACACATGTGATCCTTTGATACTTGCGGTTGCCTCTACTTTTTACTAAATTGATACTGTATGTATGCTGGACTTGATTCTGCAGTTAAAATCAATGTGCCAACCTTCTCTGCACTGAAGGAATCCATTTATACCAAGCAGCACCAATGAACAACTGATTAATAGCGCACACTAGGCACAAGAGAGTTTTATGAGTTGCAAGAGAGGGTTAGACAAAAACATACAAAACCTTGCACCAACTGTTACAACTTGGTATGCCATTATCATCAGAAAACTGTCTTGTAGCCTGTATTTATGCATCCAATGAACTGGCTAATTGGTTTAGGTTGCTGCAGTATTTTTAAATGCACCCAAGCTGATCTAGCCTTAACCATGGCCCTCATAAACACTGACCGTGCTGAAAATAGAGGTGGTATGCTGAATCTGTTTATACGGAGCATGATTAAACAATGTGTGTCGGTTTTAGGTTTAAAAATGAAACATGAGAGTATAAAGTAAGTGTCTGCTGTGGGCTAGAGGAAACAGCTGGAAGCTGTCCAAGATCAGGTATTGTGCAACCGAGGCCCTTTAAAGGGGCTTACCAAAAAAAAAGGATGTGTGCATCAGTGCACTCATTCCTATCTGTTATTAATTAGCTCACTGTTGGATTCACAGTCAGTTGTGCTGCATAAAAGCTTCATGCTCACGATTCCATGCGATGGTTGATTTCACATTCATTGCAGTTTTGTGCAAGCAGAAATGACAATGACAGTGACAATGACACTGTAGCAAATAAAGCAGGACTCTTTTTTTTTTGCCTCAGTGTAGATGAATGGAAGTGGGATGGCACCATACAGTGGCTCATCCATTTTTTATCACCTCTACATTTCCTCCAAAGCCCAGTTTATACCTGAGTCAGCCTTGGTCCTGTGGGAGGAAGGGTTGCTAAGTAGCTGCCACCTGGGGAGTTTAACAGCTCTAAACTTACAACCACGTGTCTTTAAAGCTCTAAATTTTGTGCTGAATTTATTCCACTACAGTTTCCATTCCACTACAGTATCCTCAATGTCTTAATTACTGTAAATGTGTGATAAAATTGGCCTGATAATCAGACTGAATTTCAATATTATTTGACTTACTGACTATTCCATTTATCTAGCTCCATTATATTTATCTAAATTGTGGAAAAACTGGAGATGTGGGTAATAATTTAGAGGTCAGTGACAACTACAGAGGAAAACTACACAAAGAAAACTTCACTGGGGATGGACAAAGAGTTTGACATTTGGACTTACATTTGCAGGTTTGACATTAATAAATATTTTAAATGTGTGTGGCAGAAACAACCAAAAGAGGAAACAGCTCTCAGGATAATTTAATACATTTGGACCAAGAGTCAGGTACAGTTTGTTACAAAATGTAGTTTGCTCTGTCAGTAAGCTTTGCCAATGTCCCGTTAATAACACAGCTTTCTTTTCATTTGTTGGAGATACAAGGACGAAATGTTCTTATTCACTAAGCATGTGTACATTACATAAGGAAGGATGTCTAGATTATTGAACAAAGCCAATGGGTGTGGAAATAATCATCTATTGAGACCAACCAAAAGCTGGATTGTTAGGCAGATCAAGGCAAAATACTTGAAAGGTTTAAAAAATGTCAAAACATGTCAGTTTACAGTTAAATAAAAACTTGTTGGACTTATTTTCAATTGGAAAACTGTTTCAAAATTACTGTAAACATTTCTGTACTGACATTTATTAAATCAGTCAACATACAAGCTGGTACTGCTATATCTGGGATAAGCTACAATGAGCTGATAATACTGTCCATGCCGACATATCATTCACTGTCTTATCGTTTTACTGCAGTATAACAATATGTGCATGTGTTAGTGGCAGTATAAATATATGCATACATCCACAAAATGTTAGTAAACAAGAATATAATGGGAGAGTACCTGCACCCTGAACATCTGTATCAGCGACAGACTGGTTTCTTCAGGCATTAGACATATTTCATTTCTTTCATGACAGTGGTTTGCCTCAGGAAGATCTATGTAGGGTCCAATCATTGCTAGTATAATGTTAAAGTAGCTTGGATTCCAGTGAGTGGTTTCTTTTCTATTATGTGATAGCCTTAATATCAGGTTTGTGAGAAGCAACATGAGCCCTGTCTTGTATTTATACTGACCTGGCTGAGCTTCGGTATTACATGTCATGGAAGAATAAAAATGTATTGTTTATTTCTTGTGTGCTAGTTCCAGTGGACACCGCCCAGACAGACCTGTGTTCAGTGTAACAACCCAAACAATATACTGCACACAGGAGAATACCTGTGAGTGTCTCAGTACAAATTGTGATTAATTCAAATTATCTATATTAGTGGAAATCAGGTAAAGCAGATGTTGGACCCCTTCCTCACAATCTGAACAGCTGACCATAAATGCCTGCAGATTACAGCTCTGGCCCTGTAATACATAGCCTAGTTAAAACATAGTTAAAAGAGATTAAGGCATTTCTAACTGGTGTTTAGACACCAGCAGCCAGCTTTTGTGTTCATTCCAGCAATCAAGGGCACATGGGGAGTATGCGGTGGTGAGTTCAGTGAAGAAATGTGACTGCAGCTGAGTCTGTGTCTTTGAGGTGAACATATCACAACAGTAACCATATCAACAATGGCCCCCTTTAAGCTTATTAGGAGTGATTAAGGAGCTTAACTGTGCCCATGTCTGAGGTAAAAAGATGAAATAGCATGCTTGTTTCTAATATGGCCCCAGGCCAAAGAGCCGCAGCACAATGTGTCGCACTTTTCACTCCACAAAAGTTAAAAGCCAGGGTATGCTTTAAAAGTCAGATGAAAATTACCCCCAGCCTTGTGTTTGACTTGAGGGTGTTAAACATCCACAACTGTGGTGTTGTAACAGTGCAGGTAAAGACACATCTGTCTCCCACAGTCTGGGAGTGACTGTTTCCACCTCCCCCCAAACAGACACCTGTTGTGTGAACCGACAGGTGGGCCTTTGAGGCAGCCGCCCCAACCTGCTAGTCCTGGAGCTTGAGCCCTGGGGACAGATTCACTTCACCCTGTATAATCCCTGACTGTCTGTGCGCCGGTTCCTCCTGCAGAGCTTAAATTCAAGAAAAAGACTACTTCTGTGCATCGTTTATTGAGCAAAATGAGACAGTGTTTTCATGCGCAGCAATGTCTAAAACAACTTCTAACATCTTTAGGATCGGACTAATCAGAATAAAAGAGATTGTCGCCAGTGTGTTTGTAGCCCAATGTCAGTGGCACAGAGTTTAATTTGAGGTTTAGAGGGTATGAGGGCACAACTTTGCACCTAAGAAGGCTTATAAGGCTGCCAGATACTGATAGCAACGTACGTCACACACAACAGCAAATGTTAAGGTTGGACTTAAAGCTTAAATCTTTAAATCCTCCACTGTGCTATCAAACCATGTAAGCAAGATAAGTGGCAGCTGTTACCCAGGCTGTTTGGGGGCTGTATGCCAAACACAGCAGCATAAAAAAAGGACTGACATCTCTATCATCTCTATATGTTTCTATCAGAACTGGACAGACAGAAAGAGTATGTGTGAAACTATAGTTGGTTTGTCTCAGTTGTGGTGTTTACATGCTACATGGGATCAAAACCCAGAAGCCAGGCATCTTCTCACAGATCTTAGTCCTGCCCTGCAGAGTGGAAACATTTCAAAGCACAAATGGTTCTACTATCTCACACAAATACTTATGGAACATCATAATAGAATATAAATTATCTATTGCCTCTGGGATGTTCATAGTTTGCACGTGAGGCATTCAGAGAACTAGCCTTGGTGTCAGTGGTTGTTAATGAAAACAGAGATTAGAGGGGATCATGGCAGGCAGAGTGGTTCAGTTGGAGCTGAGTGCTGACAGGATGACCTGGGTTAGCATGAACAGGCCTGACACTGCCCAACTCAAGGTCAGCAAGGAACAATATTCAGCAGATTAGCTGCTTCACATCAACTCTGATGGCCCGAGTGAGGGATTAGAGGTGTGTGGGGCAGGAAAGCAGGGAAGGAATCAACCTATACCTGCCAGAATATCCAGGGTAAACTTTTGGCATGTGCATTTACAAAAAGGGGGTTAATTTTATTCTTAATGTATCATTGCTTTTATCAGCAATCCTCCAAAATCTCCTGTGCATATTTTTTTTATCCAAACTGACAAGTAAAAGTTTTGGTCTACAGTGAAATATAAAAGAAGCCATCCTACCTGTAGCTCACACCATGCCACCTCCACTGTTGTCTCTGTGTCCAGTCCTTTATAGACCGTCTTGAAAGACCCCCTTCCAATCTCTATGTTGAATTTGAGATATCTTCCATCGGGCGAGGTTGCCACCGCCTCGGTCTCCAGGTCGTCTTTCTCTTCCTGCTCCAACTGAGTGTTAAAAGTGATGCGAGACAAGATCTTGTGTTGTTTATTCTGAAGTTCATTTTCAGACTCAGAGCTCGCGTCCTGTGCGCTGGATCTCTGGACGGGATCCCAGTTACCACTCAGAGACCCAGCGTCGGGGGCCTGGCTGCTGGGGGGCGTGTTGGAGCTGGTGCCGGGACTGGAAACGGGGGACTGAGACGGTGGAGAGTCGTCGGTTTTCTCATCCTCTGCTCGGGACTCGGGCAGTGTTAGAATATTCTCAGCCGACCAGGACAAAGCTTTGGAAAGGACGCCGCTGTATAGAGGCGAATCGATGTCCATAGTAATTTTTTGCAACCCATAAGAGTTTCTCCGTGCGCCCAAACCGTGCGTCCTCAGCACGGATGGGACCCGGGATAAGCAGTCTTCGGTCATATCCACAGAGAGGCCAGGGAAGCCGCGTCCTGGTATCTCAACCTGTGCGTGTGACATTGTAGTATACAGGTTCAACGCCTTCTTGATTGACAGCCTGCATGTGGAAATGGCATTAGGACAACAGAGCACAGTTACTTTAAGTTCCTAGTTACTTTACCATGATGTCAATGAAGTCAGTGGCTTAATACAGAGGCTGACCACAAAATAACAGGTATGTTACATGACTAACAACACAAGATTAACATAGCCTATCTATAATATCGGAGCTACCTTTACCTGTAGCAAGAATCAACCGTGGAACTATATTCTAGGTATATGTTGTTTTTGTTTTTTTTAAAACGCATAGAAGTAATAAAAATATACTTACTCATCACAGCCGCTGCGTAAAATCTCATAAACGCATTGTTCCTGTCAAATAATCCGAGTTGTCCTTCTCTCTTTGCAAAGTCTACAGCCATAACCTCCAGTGAAAGGACGAGGCTGCCTATATCAACAGACCTCCGGAGGGCTGTGCGTCCAGTGCGCTCCGAGTGCGCGCTCCCAACTCCGCCCCTCGCAGCTTTGGCGCGCTAGTAAGACCCCCGGAGGGGCTAATTAGCTACAGTATGAGTTTTGCAATTGCATGCGTTTCATTTTTGATTTCTTACACTTAATTGATGTCCAAAACGATCTGTGGAATGTCTTTAAAATCTAAATTGTGAGTTGCATAAGATGTAAAAGAAAAGCAGTGTTTTAGAGAGGACCCATAAACATGTTCCTTGTATCGATAAGCTGGACAGGTGCCAGACTTTGGTCTTTCCACAGGCGTCATTGACTGTGCGCGGAAAGTAGCAGAACAGGAGGTCTCCGCTTGTAATTGGTCCGTCATTAAACAGCACAAATTCTCTAGTTCCCCTGAATTTAGATATAACTGATGAGTGACGGGAGGTGTGCAGCGTGCGGGGCTAACCTGCAGGGGGAGCCACACCGCTGGAGCTGTTGCTGCTGAAACAAGACACCTTTATCAGCCAAGGCCACACTGGCCCCACCTGTCCCACAAGCTACACACCAGCTGTTATCAAAAACACACACACAGGATTCGATGGAGCTGTATTATCCACACCGGCAGGGACACAGCATATGACGTGAGCAGACCATCCCGTACGCAGTCTTCAGTACAGCTGTAGGGAGCATAACATCTCCATCACTGTGGTTCTACTCTGCACGTCTGCACACTCTGGGGCACTGCTGACATTCATGTTTTTCACACATCTAACCAATTCAAGACCTTAAGACATCTTAAAGAAACAAAAACACACAAATGTAGCAAATTTCTAGTTTATTTTCCTACAGGGTATGAAAAAAGGAGGTTGAATATAGGTAGAGAGAGAGGATAACAGGAGTGTCACAGTAGCTACTGCACAATAATAGGATGACAGCAATCTATGAAGTCCACTATTATTACACTCAGCCGAGTCAAGCCAGGATTGGCTTGTCTGAGATGTTCCTCTTCTGGAAGCATGTATTCTCAAAATAAAAATTCCCCCTGGTGTTGTGGGATTTCTTTGGGATGTCTGGTTGGAACAGAGGAACAACAGCCGAGCAAAAGGTCCACAGCTAATTATACCGAGGAACTGTGTTAACAGGGCAAACTGGGATAAAAGTAGTCGTATTTACAATAAAGAAAGAGTAATGTTACAGCTGGTGGGAAAAGATTTTCCCCAAGAGTATTCAGACATGATAGGGTTTACCCTGTTAAGACTCATTGCATGTTTAAGTGTTACCTCAGAAAGAATGACAACTTTAAACACAGTGTCTGAAATGATATTTGTTCTCTTTCGATAAGAAAAGGCTTTTAACTTGGGCAAACCAAAAGGCAACAACAGTTGCAGGACCAGCAACCTCTGGGCTGGGTCTTTGAGGTGCACCATGTGTAGCCTTACATGGCTAAATCTTAAAATGTGCCAGTAAAAGGTACAACATGAGGACTCCCAGACAGAGTGTGTGTGTGTTATTCCAGCACCGTTTCAGAAGAATTTGACCCCCTTTCCATCCTCCATGGTGATGATCTCTGCTTTGCCTTCTGTTTGTAGAGCCTGCAACGAGCGCAGCAGCATCCATTCTTCTAAACCGTGGAACTCTGGAGAAACAGATTACAGTTTATGTCAGAAAGTACAATAAGAATAATAAAGTTTTTATAGAACACCTTTTAAAACAAAGTTACAAGGGGCTTTTCATGGGAAACTCAAGACTCAAACATTGCAGGGCTACGATTAAAATTAATCAGGAAAGAAAAGGAGAAAAAATGCAAGATAAAAAAAAAAAAGGATATTAAAACTCACATTAATAAAAGTCTTTTTTATTAGAAGCAATTTAAAAGATGTCACTGAGTCCAACAGGGTCTATACTTTACATGTGCTTATTCTAAGTGATTACATTTCAATAGGTTATTCTGAAAAAAAATGTATTGATGCTTATTTATCTTAACATTTTAATGGCACCATACCTTCACCTTCTGTGTCTTCGCCATTGGACAACTCGTAAAGTGTAAACACCGAGTTGATCATACCGTTTTTGGAAACCTAAAATGTTAGAGAATAATAATAAAGTCATTCTGAGGAAAACAGTTGTTTAATTCTGATATTAGCCATTTTCTCAGACAGTCAAGGACAGACAGAGATCTGGAGCACACGGTTATAAATAGAGCATTTAATAAGGTGCAGCAACTAATGTTTTGACAAACTCTAGGTCTTCATCAGACAGAACTCTGGGTCATGGTAAATCATCCAGCTGGGACTCGACGTGTTGGCTATTTTTGATCATCCCTGTCGGAGCATAAAACTGGTGAAAACCTATATATCATGTTCTTTATGTGCTCATTTGAATTTAATTTTACATTGGCTGGTATTTACCACTATGAATTATTTTTTTATACAATAATACATAGTGACCCTAGGTCTGTTTTTCCACCTGTAGGTTTGGTCATGTTTACATTCTCACCACTACCGCTTAGAGTGGCAGAAGCTGGACATTTCTAGCGTTTATCCAATACATTAGCATCTGTTTCCATTTCAACTTTAGTAGTTAGTGATTACTGTGACAATACATGTGCTAAAAGCTAGCCTGACCAATATGTAAGAAGAATCATAAGAAGTATGAGATAATTTAATATATATGTACTACATAGTTTTTTTTAATAATTAACTGCATTACTTACATACAGTATGCATTTTCACTATTGCAGTGATACAGTAAGCTGCTTCCTGATTTTTTTTGTATGTGTATCAGAGGGCTGACAGTTCTTAAGTGAGAGCGCTAAGCTTTTGCTTACAGCCCAAATGTGTATACATTTGACAGTTAAATGTTCTGTACCCGGAAATAACAGATTTATTTAGACTTAAGGAGACTATTTTTTGTTAGTTTCTGTTTTAGTTTGACTGTGGATTGGAACTGTGATACTTAGTTATACCTGTCTGAAGTCTTGTTCTGCACACGTGTATACCTAAAATTTAAAATCTGTTTTTTCTAATCATGTATATCTATTATGACATTAGACCCGCTCTCCTATTTATTTAAGAATTCAGGTTACTCCAGAAAGCTGTAACCCAGTTATTTAAAATACACATGAACGCAGTAATTGTGGAAAGTGATTCTTTATTTCTCTTGTGGTTTGTTATCACAAGCAATATAAAAATGTTGCACCAGGTAACTTGGATTTTAAAAGGGGTACACTTAAACTGTGATTATTAGAGACTTTAATACCATAGCGCAATAATACTGTAATACTGAACAACATGATCTGATAGGAGCAAATTACACTGCTTTCAAAATTTACCACTTATTTATTGCTTTAGAGAACATTTTCTTCTTCCCATTTTTCCTTAATCAGCCCTAACGTGTGTGTGTGTGTGTGTGTGTGTTAAGTTTGATGACTCACCCACTGGTATATTAACTTGCCCCATTCCTCCGGTCGTCTCCACATGACTAAACACCGAGACTTGTTTTTGTCCAACCATTCGAGGTTGCCTGAGGTGAGACAACATAATTATAAAAAAAACAAAACAATTTCATGACTGTAGAAATTAATTCAGAGAGAGACAAATGAGATAATTATTCTTAATCTAAAAACTGCACAAACATGTAGACAGAACAAAACTTACCTTTTTTCCTCAGTTCCTCAAACACAACTTGAATTGCTTCCATTGACAGTTTTCCTGAAATTCAGTTAAGGAAGGGGATCCAATCAATGTCTAGAAGACTGTATCTTCCTCTCAGCACATACATAAGAGACATTTAAAAAATACACAATTTAAAAACTCACAATGGAAAACTTTTTAAAAAAAAGAATCAAAATCGATTCAGCAGAACCAAAGATATCATCTTTTATTTCCAACTCATTGTTCTTCCTTGTCAAAACCTGCTGCCAGATTTGGGTGTGTTATGCTACTAGCTGCTAATGTAGCTTCAAGTCTTTTGCCTCAAGGCCAGCAGACGAAGAGCTACAGGGGTCAGGTAAACACACTCCGCACCCCCAGATTTCATTCTCAAACTTGTAGTCTTCAGTGCCAACCAACACTGACTCAAGTGACATCCCTTGAGGCAATATGTCTGCAGTTGTAAAATTAGTTTCACATATAAAGTAATAACGTTACTCCCTGAGACCTGTCATCAGAATATGATGTGTAAAATCGGTGGCGTTCCCCATTAACTGCAGTACGCCACAGAAAATGTGTTCATGTTGATATGAAGCTGTTGATATTCACCAAAATCAAGACGAGAACCTCAAAATAAAGTGACTTAAAATTTAATTTAACACAGGCAACTGCAGCATTGTGGAGGTCAGCTAGTGAGGTGGCACTGCTCTAAAACACATTTAAAACTTGCTCAGATTGTAACATTAATATGTGAGTTAAGTGTAATTGTATATCCCAATAAAGAGGCAGCATATAAACCCTTAACTAGCCATCCAAAATCAAATAATCTAAGCAAACAGAGGAAAAACGGATTTGAAAATGAGTCAACAATTCATACAGAAGTTCTTGGATCAAGTTTAATCTGTTCTGGTAAAATGCCAGCCTTGACTGGACCACATGTGGACTGTTAGGATACTTTCTATCTTCTTGTTGTTGAACACAGGGCTTTCCTGAGCCTCCATGACGTCCAGGGTGTAGAGCTTGCGATGCCGGCAGTAAGACAGAGCCAGTGAACACCATGCCGCCAGCTGTTTCTGTCTTGTATCAGCATTGGGCTGTAGCCTGTCCACAAAGAGATAAGCAAAAGACGTCAAGTACAACTGCTATTAGGCAAACAAACACAAACAAACACCATATTTATTTTACTTATTACTTGTGTTTCTGCACGTCCAAGTACAATGATGGATTTACTTTGTATCTTATGATTTTGGTTTTCTTTTTGTGTGTGATATATGTATTTTTTTATGACATAATAAAACCAAACCAGACCATTCCTGTGATGTTGCTCGGGTGATATGACAATATATACCGGCAGATGAGACAGAGATTTTGCTAAACTCTTTATATACAAGGCAGCTATCTGTGAAATATCATAAGTTGAATTAGATGATTTTGGGCACATCAATGAGCAAGAGAAGCATCTTTTTAGGTATTCAATTCACTGGATTAGCATTCAGATTTGCTTATTTTATCTATAAAGACACAAAGAAATGGTTTCCCCAGGTTTGCACAGAGCCCTGACCTCAACCCCATCCAAAACCTTTGGGATGGACTGGATCGCTGACTGTGACCCAGACCTTATTGCCCAACATCAGTGTTGGACCTCACTAATACTCTTGTGGCTGAATGGGAACAAATTCTTGTAGCCAAGGTCTACAATTTGGTGTTAATTTACAGTATCTTGTGATAATTTACACAGAATCATCAGCATTTCTGAGGAAAAGGGACCGCAGCAGATAAAAGTCAACGCACTTATCGAACATTAACAGTGATTTACATCACTGGCATTTCTACTGAAACTTAAAACACTTCTGAGAATAACGATTATCATGCACAGTCACAGTCATTTCAATTGGTTGCCAGTGTGCACTAATTTACCAACAGAGCACACAGTTAAAACTCGTTATCAGCACACGGGGAATTATTATGTTCCTTGTGTTTACTTGGTATCAGTCTTAGATAGATAATTTACCGTCGGTCCCAAAGCAGTGACAGAAATTCTCCATCAAAAAGGCTCATTTTAAACACAAACTTAAAATGCACATTTAAAACCTACATAAAAACAGCAGCTGTAAAGTATCTATTTTTTGTTGTTCAGAGTGATTATTGCAGAAGGCATGAAAGATTTCTTATAAATGTTTTTCCTGGCCAGGGGAACTTTATATTGTCTGCCTGAAGGAGTGGTGAAGGGGGTGAAAAGGGTCCTATGTGATCAAGGTGGCCTTCCTGATCACAGAGCAGTTGTACAGTTCACATAAGGGGGTTTGTGGTGAGCCGATTATTTTACTGCAGTGGTTTATCATGCGGAAGAGTTTGGTTTTATGTTTGGTTGTAAGAGGTTGTACCAGGATGAATTGTTGAAATGTTAAAGGTCTGAGGTCTTCTTGGCATTGTCTAGCCAATGTTACACTGAAATCTGTGACCCTGGAGGATCAACTACTGTCTCAGCTATCGTAAGTTGTGCCACTACCCAAATATTAAGGGGTCACACATCTTTAAAGAGCTAGCAAAATTTGTAACCCTATTTGTACGTTACATTTATATCTGTAGGCACAACTATAGCTTTTAAAATATGTGTGACCATGAAAAAAACAGTGGCAATACGGCTGAAATTTCAAGCCAGGTTACAGGATCTGATGGGTCACATTAGTAACCGTAACACCGGTTAATAGTTGGTGTTCATGTAGGTAGCTGACAGCACAAGTTGGGACAGTGCTGGCTATCAAAACAGCTAGCTAGAGCTAAGAGCTAAACTTATTCTCTAAACTTACAAACACCACCATAAATTAACTGGACGTTAACTTAATGTGTATAAATATTCGCATCCGGTTGAGCCTTAATGAGTCGCTGAATGAAAACAAGTGGAGCTCTTACATAAACTTTACCAATAAGCCACTTCCCTAGCAATCTGTTTTGTTTAGCCAGTTAGCCGGCTAACATGATGGTATCTCGCAAATCAATACTCTTCGATTCAATAATATACAAACAATGGAGGCTAATAAGCAGGGTTAGTTATTCTTTTAAAACTCTCCCTTAAATATGGTTCAGAAAAAGTTGACTTACGTAAAAAACGGTGGGAAATTATATTGCCAGGGCCACTCAAAACTCATTTCAGTTGATGCGGTGTTCACAGCTGACAGCTTCCGGAAGCGAGTACAACCTCTCAAATGGTTCCGACTATCTACACAGATATACCATACACAAATAAATACATACCGTAATATCAATAAATATTTATACAAAAAATGTTACTAAAAAACAACGGATATATATTTGAACAATAAATTATACTAAGTATGAAAATTATTCCAAAAATGTTTTTAAAACATTATGAAACTTACTTACATGAATTACCAACAGTGGGAGGTAACTAAGTACATTTACCTAACTACTGTACTTTTGGAGATACTTGTGCATTACTTGAGAATTATGTTTAGCGTTTTTATTCAAGTTCATTCAGGACCAGGGTTTAATCACTGAATTATCAAAATATAAAACCAGCAGGCATTAAAGCAAGCAGTGTATAAAAACCTGAATACAATGGCTGATCTGATCTCTGTTTAAACAAAGTGCATATAGCAAAGTACAAAGTAGCAATCAAATATAACAGGCTAGCAAATTGTAAGTAATAGCAAATATATTACACATACACAAAATGATACCATAGGTGTGTTGATGCTGTTTATTTACAGATGGGTTTTCTTGAGCCTTTTGAAAGGAACAAACAAACAAGTCATTCTTTTTTACAAAGTTATTTTTATTATGGAATAACTTTCACATTTTCAGCAACTTTGAGCATAAATATGCCACCTATTTCTATTTACAAGTCATAAATCTCTTCTAGATCTCACTTTTCTGGTTCATGCTCAGACTGGTTGAACAGTCAGAAAATGTATCACTACATATTTATATTTCTATTGCATTATAATACAGTTTCTTCAAGTGCAGCATGCTTGAAAATGGCGTTTTACACTTCAGAAAATAATCTATAGGTCGCACAAGTATTTTATTTCACCATCTACTTCACAGCAATATATTGGTATTAATATTTATTTTTATACATTTCTATATTACAATAAAATTCATGGGTAAAATGAGACTGAAAACCAAAACACAATATTAGAATGCAATTTTAGTTATTGCCATATTTGATATACTGTAATTTCAAATTCAAAACAATATTTAAAAGTCATTAAACTTTCTAAAATAAAGATGGAAGCAATCATTGAACATTTTGTCAGCATTAATGCATCCGTCCAGGTTTGACTTGGGTTCTATTATCACTGTGATTTAGACAAAACAAAACAAACAAAACAATAAACAATTAAAATCTGCAGAAAGTGCCTTGTGAGATTAAGACAGCCAGAGTCTCAGGGAACAAGAGCAACCTGATACATTCCTTCCAGCCAATCAACAAGCTCAATAATTCTGAAAAGGGAAACCAAACCACACCTGTTTGCACCTGTGTGGCTTGATTTTCAATCCAACAATACTGCCAAAGATAGTTCTAACAGTGTCTTCCTCCTATGGAGTAAATCTGGTCAAAACAGTGGTTAAACATGCTTCAAATATTCTTAGCAAAGACCATTTGAGGATCCCTTTATCTAACTTTACGTGGTTAAACCTCAAATATTTTGAGTGAAAAAAACTTGAAGAGCCCTTTAAACTTATTTTACAAGACAGTTTTTTTTAGACGTCACACTAAGGCTGTTTATGTACATGCAAAATGTAAATTTATCACTTCAAACTTAAGCACATTTACTAGGCGTGTGCCCAGGTCTGCACTGGAAACTGGTGACAGCTTTAGCTGTTGTGGAAGAGACGCTCATATTCATTCAGGATGAATTCTACGATCTGGTTCTGAAAGATCATGTGCATGGCGATGTTGGATGACTCCATCTCTGGCCGAAGCAGAGTAGGGCCGAATACAATTGCCACATTCTGCACAGTCATGCGATTGTCCTCCCCATATTGAATAACCCTGTCGGAGAAAAAAAAAGGGGGGGGATGATAATGTGAGGAGACATAATTACATAATTCACCTGTTTTGTTTATACACACACACACACACACACACACACACACACACACGAAGGATGCAAAGGATAACATTAAAAATATAAAAAGAAATTTGAACACACCTGCGTAAATGCCCAAAAAGGAGTTTCATGGTGTCATGATTTGGTGAAGGAAGTGATTTGACCAGCTCATACATGCAAGACAGTTTTGAGTTGTAATCAGAAATTCCTGGAAAAACAGGACAAAAGTTATTAATCAGTTTTAAATATAACCAACATCAACTAAACACTAACGTCAACTATGGATTCAAAAATCTGCTTACTGATGGCTGAGATGAAATTATTAAAGTGGCTGTATGGGAAAAGTGGCTCAGGAAGCTCTCGGAAAAACAATTTCAACGCTCCGGTGATGACGTGAACGTCCTCCCACTGGCCGTCCTCAAGGTCCAGCTCCTCTGTTTCAACACAAAAGGTGTACAGCCCATGAAAGCACAGCAGGGGGCAGTGCTGTCTACAGTGAAATACTACAGGCACTATGAATGGTGTGCTTTCTCAGTCTGTGTGAAGTCCTTGACTGAATTATAGAGATTAATGCACATAAACTTGTTGTAAACTTTACCGTGATCGGCCTTGAAGCGTAGTTTCTGAATGACAGCGAGGTTCCCACTCACTCTGTAGAGTCCGTCAATGTCTAAACCTGTAAATCAACACATCGGCACCAGTAAGTCAGCTTCCTTACTGCACAAAGGAAAAACACTTCAATATTATGCAGGCGGTGACACAAACAAGGCGGATTACCTCTATTTTCCACTGCTTTGATACATTTTACCACAAAACTAGGAACTGTGTCCTTCTCTTGCTCACACAGTGTGGCCAGATGGCAACCAAACACATTGTCTACAGGGAATAAGAACATTATAATTATTATTAATAGTAGTAGTAATTGAATTCAGGCAGAAATGCAATCAATCAGTCAGTCAATATTAGAACATGTGTCAGAGACTATGTGTCAAAGATCAAGTATTGTAAAAAGCATAGATTGTATTGTAAGAGATTACAGCATGCATATAAGAAGTAGTACAATGTAACTGTTGTGAAAAATAATACATATATAAAGTATGCAGTAGGAAATGAGTACAAAAATAAATATATACCATGTTTTTACATGCAATATACAGAATTACAGTAATATGAGTTAAAAAAAACAGTTGTGTGAATATTCACAAAATATACAACTGTGAGATTATATATTAACAGAACTTCCTTTTATCTCATGAACCTTTCATTGTTATCTCTATTGCATTTATAGTACCAGCACATTTAATGCCTTCAATTAATATCACATCTTATTTTGTTTTTATTTTATTGTACATGTTTTTTATGTTACATTTCTGCATAAAGAATTTCCTCTAGTGGGATGATAAAGTCCTGAACTGAAATGTGAACTTGAAAATACAAAAAAAGCTTGTGTTAAAATATGTGTACCGCCGTGACGTCACCCATTGGTTTGTAGACTTGTAGGTTTGGGTGAAACTCATGAATTGCAGGTAAGCTGGGTTGATTTTCTCATTGTATCATTTCCATTTACTTCTGTTCAAATCACCCACAATATAGAAAAGAACAATATTATGTTATTGCCGTTCAAAATTACCTCGTATGTAGCCTTTCTCCTTGACAGACTGCAGCGTGGGGCGTTTCATGAGGAACTTCATCAGCTTGGTTCGAACCCTCTTTTGGTCTGCGTCTCCTGCTGTGCCGGAAGATTGTGCGACACTTGGCCTGGAGGCTACAAAAATCAAACGTTAGACATTTAAAATGATCGTACTTGTAGCCTGATTTAGCTAACTGGGTCATTCATGCCACAGTTAAACTTTTTACATCTTCGCTTGTCCACGCTGCCTCCAAACTTGTCATCTCGCTCTGTGCAGGTAATCTTCTCATATAAGTTCTCGTCCTCCTCCTCTGAATGATGGTCCTGGTATTCCTGATGAACAGACATATAGACTGAGTAAACTCTCAAACAGGAGTACTGCAAATATTGACTGCACAATTACAGCTATTAAACCGGAATTATTAAAGATAAGTGAATTCAGCAACTTGAACATACACTGCAAAACGTCCTTATACTCATGTCTGTAATTCAGTCCTTGAAGTGTATTTCTCTTAAAATAACGAAAGCATTAAGAATATTTCCAATGCAAAATAATGTTTTTAAAAGTATTTTCTAAAATAAAATGTTTTTTATTGTTGATTGAATTGCTATATCCTTTTTTTGTGTCAAGAAAAATACACTATGATGACAACCCCACTTTCTCTAAGGCAAATAAGCGAATTCCCAAAAACGTCAAACAATTCAAATGACTTGACCATTTTCACTTATGGGCAATGAAGGGCTCACCAGTTGTCGTATGGTGTCCACTAAGACCTTGTGCCAGTCATTGATGATGCTTTCTGTATCGTACTGTATCAGAAACTCCACACCGTTCTTGCCTTTTAACTGGAGGAGAGAGAATAAGAGAGAGATAGTGAAGAGGACTGTTCATCAGAGTTATTTTGGGAAACAATAATTAAACGAATCACAAATCACATTTAGATCAGTCCCAGATGATATCCTTTTACTCATTATCTCACAACATTTATTTTAATATCTGACACAAATACATGAGATCATGTTTTAGTTGAGAAGCATAAATTACACACTGTAGGCACTCTATGGTGCGTTGTTTGCTTAATATAAAAACATTCACGCACACATTGCATTATATCCTTTGTCAACAAACGAACACACCTCTAAAACATTCTTTTTGCTGGATTTGTCCTTTGAGGCCCAGCCAATCGTCGCTCCTCGCAGGTCCACCGTGACCTCTGGTACGATCTGATTGGTCTTGTTCTGCGTGGAGAAAAAATAAAAAATACAGCTGTTTACGAAACTTACGGCGCCGCATTCCAAGAAACAAGCTGCGCTACACAAAAGATGTATCTGTCTCTGTCAGTCTATGACCTGAGGGCTTGTATGTGCGGTCACTCCTCATAGAGGTGACACAACCAGTCTGCACCATGCTGCAGTTTAATGTTTCATTCCCTTTCTTAGGTATGAAGCATGATAAAAACTTTTCATTAAAAACTTTCAAGCAATGTGTTGAGGC